CCCCAAAACCCCAAAACCCCAAAACCCCATCCTTTAAAAATTAGATATTTCTGAAGATTCAAATTAAAATTGGAGATTTATTTTAATTAGTTAATCTATTTGATTACTTAGCAGTATTTTAATTTTATCAAACAAAGTTTCTATAATTAATTTCTCTACAGACTCTATAATTGCCAAAGTTATTGTGCATTCTCTTTATCACTTATCCCATCTTCTTAAAAGCAAACACCTGATATGACCCACAAATCTCAAATTAACGATTAATACCTTCCTATGTCATTCTTTGACTAGCTTCCTTAAATACCATTCTATTAAATAATCCTTGATTGTTCGCATCTTAAACACTTTCCGAATAAAACTCATGAAAATTTTTCTACTCTACTAACTCGAGATCATACTCCTTAGCAATTTCAATTAGTTTAGGAAAAATCACTAGGTATTCAGGGACATATACTTTTTCAGATTCCAAGAACTTTTATTTTCCAATAGCATCTTTCAAGTAGAAATAGTACTTGAGGCCAAAAGCTCCTTGATCTTTAGGAAAAGCAATCTATCCAAATTTAATTGCAAAATCCTCATTTTCTACAGTCATACTGCCTGTAGTGTCCAATCTCATTTGAGAGACGATTCTATCTGAGTCTATGGTTGTCCCGATGAAAAATCCTCCAGGCGTCAATTTGCAGCTAACATTATGAAGGAAATTCCTTAGCTTCTTCTCGCTTTCAAACATGTAATGCATTGCAAATTAGCAACTCACCATATCAAATACTATGCTGCTCTTGATATCTCTGAATTTATCATCTGCCAAGACCTTGTCAATAGTCATTGATTCATCTCCAGCATCTGCAACTACAAAAATACTTGGGAATTCTACATTTCTAATCTCTCTTAGTCTTTCAATAGCAATTTTTATTAGTTACTCCTAATATTCAAGAGCCACATAATGAGAGGGTTTCTTAAGTATCCATTTCCTCAGGTCTCCTCCTTTGCCTGAACAAAGATCAAAGATGCTAGGTGAATATTTGTAGGGAAGCCTATCAATGTATTTATTAATTAATACTGCCTTAATGAAGTTGTTAAATTTTCTCAAGAAGTTGATATCTGAATATTCTCTAGTTTGCTAGTTATCTTGAATATCTTCATCATAGAATACATCCTAGTTAAGAACGTAGAAGGGCTCACTCTTGTAAAATTTATGATATTGACTCTCCATTTCTTAAACTAAACAATAAAGTAAAAATTTATATTAAATTTGTTATACTAAGTCTCTCAATGCATATATTAGCTTTAATCGCGGGGTTTTGGGGTTTTGGGGTTTTGGGG